TTGATGTATTTTTGAATTTGGTTTGCTAATATTTTATTGAGGATTTTTGCCTCTATGTTCATCAGAGATATGATCTATAATTTAATTTTTTGTAGTGTTTGTCTAGTTTTGATATTAAATTGATGTTTCATAGAATGAGTTTGGAAGTATTCCCTCCTCTTCTACCTTTTGGAATACTTTAAGAAGGATGGGTATTAACTCTCCTTTAAATGTTTCATAGAATTCAGCTATGAAGCCATCTGGTTATGGAATTCTGTTTTTTAGGAGTTTTTTGATTATCAGTTCAGTTTTGTTACTGATAATTGGTCTGTTCAGATTTATTTCTCCTCCTGGGTATATCTTGGAAGATTATATTTTTCTAGGAATTTTTTCCTTTTCCTCTAGGTTGTCCAATATTATATCCTGTGTAGAAACTTAAAATTCTGTCTGTTTAAGGTTAATTAAAGTGTTTGATTATTTAAGCCTCCTCACAATCTCATGGATTGGATAGGAGAGGTGGTGTGGCTGTCATTACTTAAATTCCTCCCCATTAAGTTATCAGAGCTAATTGCTAGGTGGAAATTCTTACCAATTCAATGACTAATATTTCACATTATAAGGAGAAATAGTCTAAGGTATGGTGTCCTGTATTACTCTTTCCTTAACTTTTCCTTTGGTTTTTAAAAGGAAACTAAAACCCTTGTAGAGTTAAGGATTATTTTGCCTACTTCAGTTACTCAAATGATACATTGATATTTTATCCTGCACAAAGATCTAATAAATATAAACACAGAAGATACACAGCCATCCATTTTAGTTAGTAAAGGGTCTACTAGGCATTTTTGTTTTAATTTTTCCTCAGATTTTTAAATGTTAGGATAATGCTTAAGTTAGGATGAAATTCAATTAAAACTGAGATCATGCTGGACATAATTTTTTTATTTAAAAGAAACTTCCTTCTCAGAGTTTTTTTGAGCACTGATGGGTCTTATCTGGTACCCAAGCAGAAGCATTGGGAAATTCCTTGATTTACTAAATAGAGTTCTGGGTAATAAATGTATTTACTATTTCACATTTAAGAATATCTTTACAGTGTCTAAATTTCAGATTTAAAAAATTAGCATATTACTATGTTAGTTGAAGCTATGACATTTTGGGAGTAGACATTCATGAGTTCATGAATAGACCCATGTTGGGCCATTTATGCTACAGACACAATGTATATATCTTCTGTGGCTTATTTTCACAAAGAAAAGTGATGAAGAGAGGGAATTGAGGAATACTGAATTCTTGCAATGAAACAGGTATATTTATGCCCTATTTAAGAGAAACCTAACCCAAACTATAAGGTTGAAATTCCTTTTTTTATTTCTATCTATGGAAATTAAAGTTTGGAGAAGGTAAATAACTCACTCAAGGTCACTTAGGTAAGAATGAGCTGGGGTTGCTTCCTGTCTGCTAACTTCAAAGTACATAATGTATATATAAGAAAACCTGAAGATGAAGATTTTAGCCTCATCAATGAGGTCTTTAATTTCTCTGATTAGAGTGTTCTAATTTTTCAGCTGTAAATAATATATTATCTACTTATAATAAAATTGTGAGAAAAAAATGACATAATTTATATAAAACTAATTATTTCAAAGTATATAGGCATCTTTGTTTTACCTTTTGTGTCTTACTAATCACAAGTCCTTCCACACACAGTCAGTAACCCCAAAAAATTTTACCTGAAATTAACTGCAGTGGAGTCCATGAAGCTGGTGGCTGAAGAGATACTATATTTCATAGAATTTTTTTGGTTACTGTAAAGTTGAGTAAGAACCTGGAAATATCAGAGGTTTTTGGTTTCCATTTCTTGCCCTGCCTCTTCTAGGGTAAATGGCTTGTACAGTATTGATAGCCCCATGAGGAAGAATGTGGAAATTTCATTTTAATGATTTTTTTTCATTTTCTTGGCAGGTGACATTTTATATTAGGCATTTGTAAAGAGTAGCATCCTAGCTTATGCCTTAAACTACCCTTAAATATAAAATAGGACCACAGTTCATATGTACTCTTTTTTCCAACACACCAGAATATACCATCCTATTATTTTGTTTGAAAAACAGAAATGATCATATGAATGGGATCCGGTATTTTTTTACCCTGAAGTTACTTTGCCTCATCTTTTCTGACCATTACAATAGTCACCAGTCTATGGCTTCCTTATGTCTCACAACATTATCACTTTCAGTTATGTGAAATGTCCTTTGACACCTATCCGATCAAGCAGAATTGAGTATTCTATACCCTTTGAACAGTCCCATACAATAGCAATGAATAAATGCTTATTTTGTCAACAAATTTAAGTAGATATATGAATAAAAGTCTATGATATGTTCCTTTTGGTCCTCTTTCATGGACAGAAAGGTTCCATGGTTCCTAAAGCTTTCAATGTGAGAATTCATTGCACTTCTTTCTTTTCCTGAAGTGAGGATAAATCAGATCTGTATTCTTTTTACCAAATAAGTGTTGACCAGTGGTCAGTTACCAGGCAAAATACATGATGCCCAGGTAATTTTGAGTCTAAGATAAACAGCACATCAATTTTAATATCAGCACATCTCCTACAAACACTGTATACATGTATTAAAGAATGATTTCATGTTTACATGAAATTCAAAATTAAGTCAGTATTCTGTATTTTTAGTTGCTAAGCCTGGAAACCATACTAATGGTTCTGACATTTGTAAAAGTTCCCAACTCACAGGAAATACAAATTTTACTTGTGATTTTTAGACTGTAGAGTATGAACCTGGCTCAGAGGGCTTTCATCCTCCCTCACTGATTTCCTTTTATGATTATTGTTGCTTATTGTTGCTCCTTTGACCCATTCCGGGACAAAAATGGAGAGGATGAGAGTAGTTTTCTTATTATCTGGAGGCCTGCAGTTAGTTAATTATTTATGCTATTTCATTCAGTTTTCAATTTAGCCCCTTATGTAGTGTAATATTACATTGGTTTCTCCAAGAACTTTTTTTTAAATCATCGATCAATGATTTTCTATATTGCTGTTTAGAATGGAGACCTCTACCAGTTTTTAATCCTCACTGGAGAATCAAACTCTGAATAACATTCAACTTGCATATATTCTGTCGATATATTCTGTGTGAAACTATGAGGTGTGCCGCTCTGCGTTTGCAAATAAATATTGCTTACTGTTTAATTATATTTCTATCATCTTGTCTGGAAAGTTTTCAAATCAGAGAATAGTGGAAATTAATTTCTGAACTTTACACATGGGTAACTATTCTTTCTGGAAGTTGTATCTGCTTTTAAAATTCCAAAGGGCTCTCTCACTGGAATATGAACATTTACACTTCGGAATGTTGTTTTAAATGCCACCCAAAATTGGAGTTTTATCTAAAACTGATACTTTGCTTTCAAAGACCTATCTCCAAGAATTTTCCACTGGCAGAAATTAAGTATCTTACAAAGTATCAAAACAGCAAACTCCTTAAATAAATAATTGCTCTAATCTGCCCATATAATACTACATGCCATACAGAGCCTCTTCAGAAACACACACACACACATGCTCACAACTCACACACACACACACACACACACACACACACACAGACATGCTCACACACACCCACACACACACAAATGCTCACACTCACACACAAACTATCAACAACTATGAAAACCTAATAAACAGTCAACAAATGGCCAGTAGCTTTTAGTTTATAAATCATAATGTGTAATCTTCGGAATTTCCTACAGTAGAATCTTATAAATTGGCTCTTAGAAACATAATATGGATGAAACCATGTCATAGTCTGAAAAAACTTCTTCCTCTCTGATTTAAGATCAAGGTCTGCATTGCTGTTTTATATAAAGTGGCTGTCTGGTGATTTTAGTGTATTTTCTTATATAACCACATATTTTGTAAAGGAATAAATATTAGCTCTAATTACCTAGTGGCAATTTCTTCATTGCTTATTGAATTAATATATTTCATGTTGTTCTTCACAATAAGCAGAAGCAGCTCATTTTGTAGGATCAAAATTTGTTATCTTTTTATTTGCATTGTACTGTTAAGCTAATGTTGAGGCCATTGATGAAGCAGGCATGACATTCTTACACTAAGATGTTTGAAGAAGATTAAACCAAAAGGAAATAAAGTTTATTCCAAGGGGAATGAACTAAAACACATGTGAAATTACACAAGAGAAAAAGGGGCTTTGTCCTCATCATCTTTAAAAATGTTTTTTGCATTTGATTTTTGAAAAGGCAAATGACTCCATTTTGCTCAACTAAATTATGGAAAACCTTGAAAATCAAATGGAGTCAATGAGTGAAAGTGTCAATAGAGAATCGTTTACCTGCCTGAGGAAAGTGTTCAAATGCATGACCTCTTCAAATAACTAGGACCCCAGATGGAGTCAAGTCTAATGAGATACATTCAAGCAGTTCATAGTTTTAGGTAAAGCCTGAAATCCAAAAAGGTCAATGGAAGGTGTGCTGTTCTCTGCCATTAAGTGATCACTCTAATCAAAGTTGGAGCTATATGTGGAGAATTGCTAAATGCCCTATGAGACCTATGTCTCAAAATAATTAATAAAAATATACTACAGCGTTGCTCACTCTCCACATTTTCATTCATGCTCACTGTTTTAGAAAGACAGAACTAAATATTATAATTTACCCTCCCTCAGATTCACTTATCTGAGACATAAGAAGGAGAAAGGAGAATGATTTTTGTTCTTTGACCAGAGAGTGACAATTCTCACTCAATCTCAACTTTTATAAATAAAGTCACCTTAGAAGCATCAACATAGTGACAATTAGATTTACCCTTCCTGGCCTTTCACTAACTTAAACTTATTTTCCAATTTTTCTCTCTCATTTTCTGTACTCCTGTTTTCAGTTGTCCCATTTTGGGAAGAATTTATGATGTATAAGAACAGAAGTGAATGCCGATGTATCTGTACACTTGCTTATACTGATTACTGGATTCATGTTGCCTGCAGGTACTGAAGGAGCAGTATTCGGGCACTCTGTGGAGACACCTCACATCAGAGCAGAGCCTTCCCAAGACCTCAGGTAAGTCCTGGCTCTTAAACCTGTGCTGTGGCATAGTTTTAATCACAAATGATAGTCCTTAACATATAAAGAGCTAGAAGAGAAAATGGGCTACATACTTGAATAAATAATTGATATTCCCTGCCAACATGATCAACAAATAGAGAAATTTTTGGTTGAGGGCAACAAATCTGAGTTATTCTAACTTTCTGTATTTTTCCTGTAATGAACATGCATTGAATATAAACAAAAATGTATCAGGCAGGAGAAGTATGGACAAAAAAAATAGACATCTATAGCAACTTTAAGGGAGACTGATAAAAATAGGGATTCCAGGAAAATCTGGCATAGACAGTAAAATATATCACATGCATAATAAAGATTAAATCAGAAATAAATAAAATTGAGAAGAATAAAACAATTGAAAGAATCAATGAAAGCAGGAGCTGATTCTTCAAGAAAATAAACAAAATAGGTAAACCCCTAGCCAGACTTATCAAGAAAAAAAGAGAGTCTACACACATAAACAGAATCAGAAATGAGAAAGGAAAAATCACTACAAACACCACAGAAATACAAAGAATTATGAGAGAATACTATGAAAAATTATTTGGTAACAAAATGGATAACCTAGAAGAAATGGACAACTTTCTAGAAAAATACAACCTTTCAAGGCTGATCCAGGAAGAAACAGAAAACCTCAATAGACAAATGATAGGCAAAGAAATTGAACTTGTAATCAAAAAACTCCCGAGGAATAAATCCCTGGACCAAATGGTTTCACTACTGAATTTTATCAGACATTTAGTGAAGACCTGATACCCATCTTCCTTAAAGTTTTCCAAAAAGTAAAAGAGGAGGGAATTCTCCCAAATTCATTCTATGAGGCCAACGTCACTCTAATACCAAAACCAAGCAAAGAGACCACAAAAAAAGAATATTACAGACCAATATCCCTGATGAACATAGATGCAAAAATACTCTACAAAATATTAGCAAACTGAATTCAAAAATACATCAAAAAGATCATCCATCATGATCAAGTGGGATTCATCCCAGGGATGCAAGGATGGTGCAACATTTGAAAATCCATCAACATCATCCACTACATCAACAGAAAGAAGGACAAAAACCACATAATCATCTCCATAGATGCTGAAAAAGCATTCTACAATATTCAACATCCATTCATGATAAAAACTCTCAACAAAATGGGTATAGAGGGCAAGTACCTCAACATAATAAAGGCCATATGTGAGAAAACCACAGCAAACATTATATTTAACAACAAGAAGCCGAAAGCTTTTCCTTTAAGATCGGGAGCAAGACAAGGATGCCCACTCTCCCCACTTCGATTCAACATAGTTCTGGAGGTCCTAGCCACAGCAATCAGACAACACAAAGAAGTAAAAGGCATCCAGATTGGCTAGGAAGGAGTCAAACCGTCCCTGTTTGCAGATGACATGATATTGTACATAAAAAACCCTAAAGAATCCACTCCAAAACTACTATATCTAATATCTGAATTCAGCAAAGTTGCGGGATACAAAATTAATACACAGAAATCTGTTGCTTTCCTATACACTAATAAAGAACTAGCAGAAATAGAAATCAGGGAAACAATTCCATTCACAACTGCATAAAAAAGAATAAAATACCTAGGAATAAACCTAACCAAGGAAGTGAAAGACCTATACCCTGAAAACTACAAGACACTCTTGAGAGAAATTAAAGAAGAAACCAATAAATGGAAACACATCCCGTGCTCATGAATAGGAAGAATTAATATTGTCAAAATGGCCATCCTGCCTAAAGCAATCTACAGATTCAATGCAATCCCTATCAAAATACCAACAGCATTCTTCAATAAACTAGAGAAAATAGTCCTAAAATTCATATGGAACAACAAAAGACCCCAAATAGCCAAAGCAATCCTGAGAAGGACGAATAAAGCAGGGCATTTACACTCCCTGACTTCAAGCTCTACTACAAAGCCACAGTAATCAAGACAGTTTGGTACTGGCACAAGAACAGACCCATAGACCAGTGGAAGAGAATAGACAGCCCAGATAGAAACCTAAGCATATATGGTCAATTAATAGACAATAAAGGAGCCATGGATATACAATGGGAAATGACAGCCTCTTCAACAGATGGTGTTGGCAAAACTGGACAGCTACATGTAAGAGAATGAAGCTGAATTATTTTCTAACCCCATACACAAAAGTAAACTCAAAATGGATCAGGACTTGAATGTAAGTCATGAAACCATAAAACTCTTAGAAAAAAACATAGGCAAAAATCTCTTAGACATAAACATGAGTGACCTCTTCCTGAACATATCTCCCTGGGCAAGGGAAACAAATGCAAAAATGAACAAATGGGACTATATGAAGCTGCAAAAGCTTCTGTACAGCAAAGGACACCATCAATAGAACAAAAAGGTATCCTACAGTATGGGAGAATATATTCGTAAATGGGAGATCCGATAAAGGGTTGACATCCAAAATATATAAAGAGCTCACACACCTCAACAAACAAAAACAAATAACCCAATTAAACAATGGGCAGAGGAGCTGAATAGACAGTTCTCTAAAGAAGAAATTCAGATGGCCAACAGACACATGAAAAGATGCTCCACATCGCTTGTCATCAGAGAAATGCAAATTAAAACCACAATGAGATATCACCTCACACCAGTTAAGATGGCCAACATCCAAAAGACAAACAACAACAAATGTTGGTGAGGATGTGGAGAAAGGGGAACCCTCCTACACTGCTGGTGGGAATGTAAACTAGTTCAACCATTGTGGAAAGCAGTATGGAGGTTCCTCAAAAAACTTATAGAAATACCATTTGACCCAGGAATTCCACTCCTAGGAATTTACCCTAAGAATGCAGCAGCCCAGTTTGAGAAAGACGTATGCAGCACTATTTACAATAGCCAGGAATTGGAAACAACCTAAGCATCCATCAGTAAATGAATGGATAAAGAAGAGGTGGTACATATACACAATGGAATATTACTCAGCCATAAGAAGAAAACAAATCCTACCGTTTGCAACAACATGGATGGAGCTACAGAGTATTATGCTCAGTGAAATAAGCCAGGCAGAGAAAGACAAATACCAAATGATTTCACTCATATGTGGGGTATAAGAACAAAGAAAAAACTGAAGTAAATATATATATGGTGTGCATAGGCATGAAGAAAGGGGAGGCAAAGAGGCAGAGGAAGCCGTAAATGCTCAGGAAGAATAAAGAGGAAAATACCGAAGCAGATGTAAATAGTAATCAAAGAAAGGCAGGTCTTAATTACATGCGATCTGTTCCACAGTCTAATATTCCCAGTGGAATAAGCTGCTTCCTGACACCGTGCTTGTTCATAAGAGGTACAGTTCATATTAAAGCCCTCACTCCCCAGAAGGTCATGAGATGACCTGATAGGGAATTTTCCTGGATAAACGTGGCAACTTTTGATAAAAGTTGAAATACTAACGTGTGATAATTGATCAGTGGCTATTTAATTCAACAAATAAGTTAAGCTTTAAGGATTAAAGGTCTTTTATGTGATTTATTTTGGCAATCCTTTAACAATGCATATATATATCAAATCATTATGTTGTACACCTTAAGCTATGCAGTGTTATATGTCAGTAAAATAAGGTGTTTTATATTTTAATTTCTTGACAGGTAAATGACATTCCAAAATCCATTTGCTATGGTATTTTTAAAAACCAAGAATAGCAATATTAACAAAAAAAAAATCACTTATTAAAAATCGTTTTTAAAGTTGAATCAAAGTATGAACCTGATAGAGTCTTTGTCTTGGTAAACACAATAAAAATATTAAGAAAAAATACATTTTATTTCATAAAGATCAGGTTCAGCCCTTCCCATTTGGATGAGTGGAAAAATGCATAAATAAAAATAGAAAAATTAAGTTGAAAAATTTTAATGCCAAACAAACAAAAGCCGGACTTCCACAGTAGTAAATTTTGCAGAGCTTCATAGTTCTATGATAGTTTCCTGAGAAACTCGGTTTCTTGTTGGGTGAGTACCTCAGATTCAAACAAGCTACTTAACAATAACAGGAGAAGTTGGTCCTCTTCATGTGGTCAATGAATTTTTTTATAAAACAAAAACAATAATTTTTTGCCTTTGTGCTGAAGCCACCAGGCCTTAGAAGAGTTAAAGAACATGTACAAACAGTTTCTTATAGTGTGTGATAGTCTTGATTCATGACTCTTTTCTCATTTAGGAATTCAACATTTTGTGTGATTGTTTTATTCCTCTCCGTGTAACAAGGTTGCATGTTCCATAAGGCCAGGATCTGCAACTTCCCTGCTTGCCTTTATGCTGCAGTGACCAGCACTGTATCTCACATGCAATAGTGTCTGACAAATAGTTGTTTATTTGAATTACTGAAACTTAGCAAAATTGAATAATCAGGACAGTGACTGAATACATGTAATACGAGGACCATGCCAGCAGCTGCTACTGTATTACTGAGACACATGGGACTAACATTAATTCCAATCGTTTCTGAAGTTGAATGCAGATACCAGAGTTTAGTGATTCATTCTATAGTGTTTTTAAAAATTACTAACTTCAAGAAAAACAATTTTTTACCTCTACTATTTGAATGATTATGTACTCATTTACAGTTTTCATTATGGAACGTCTATTGCCAAAAGAGGAGTAAGAACTAACTGCTATTTTAATTACCTTGCAACATGTCTCAAAATTCCTAAGTGTGAATGTGAATTAAATTATAATTTGTACATAGTGTTCCTGGTTTTTATTTTCTAATTATGTATCAATTTTTAAAACGTATTAAGCTCAGCTAATCTGCTAGCATTAAAAGCAGAGTGGCAACCCCCAGGATGAATGTTAGTGATCTAAATTCCAGAACAGAAATGGAAGCAAAGTGCAGAAATTATGGGGTTATTCAATTATTCATTTGGGTTCTGAAGATTAAAAGCAGGGTGTCTGAGAAGATCTTTACAAGTCTTGCTGAC